GCCCATCAGGTCTAGGTTTGGGGATATTGGTGAAGTTAATAGTGGAAGGGACGCCAGGCAGCAGCTGCCTTAGAGGCGTGTATCCTGTAGTGCCCAATATGCCCTCTGTTCCCGTTTTACTACAAACGTGCAATGGATTAGAAGTTTGTGATGCCAACTCTCACTGTCTGGGAAGAAGTGGTTCTTGGATGTTTCTTCTTAAGTAGAGTATGTCTGATTCTAGAGTAACAGTATTTTGTATAATTTTGATAACAATTCATTTAGCCAGAGGTACAGTCTCTGACAGCCTGACCCATCTGGAAAATAAATCAGAACTAGGAATAAAGCCCAAGCACCCCTGAGCACTTGGTTCATGTACTGAACTACTCCAAAGAAGAGTCCTTGGAGACCTGAACTCAGGCTGACATTAGAGACTTCTCACCCTCTGATGAGTTGGGGGTGAGGAGCGTCGGCACGATGGGAATTTAGGGGTAACAGCCCAGGCTTATCATTCTGTTCTGCATACATCCTATGTGTCTGATTGAGAAATGGTGCTTCTGACTTGGCTGGTTTTCTAGGGTCATATTTAGAACCTGAAGTGCCTTTTAATATCTGAATTCCCTGTCTTCAACAGGTACCCCTTCTACATGCTTACTTGCATTGACATGGATTGGAAAGTACTCACATGGCTTCGCTACTCTCTGTGGATTCCTCTTTATCCTCTGGGATGCTTGGCAGAAGGTACAGCTTAGCATCAACTCATTCTTCCTCTGTTAGCCTGGGTCTGCGGATGGGGGATTGGACTTTTCCAGAATGCCGTTAGTGACTCCTTCCCATACTATTCTTGGCAGCCAGGGAAATGCTGCATTTTGTACAATTTGCAAGCTAGATGGTCATGCACTGCATGCTTCTCATTTACAAGGCATTCCTAATTTTCTAGAACAGGTTCGTATTGATCACTGCATTTCATTCTGACAAATACCCTGTGAGTGAGTCAGGATTATTCTCTCCACTGTCTGGATGAGGAAAGAATCCAAAGCTCTGTGTGATGAAGTGCTGGCCCTCATTCATCTCTCTGGAGTAGCCTGGGGGCTCACCTCTTAGGAAAACCGAGCGCTCTGTAAGAAGAAAAGATAAAGCATTTTCTAAACGGAAACTGAGGACTGTGCTGGGAAGGTTCTAACTGTGCATGACACTGTACCAGAGGCTTCAGAACGTCTGTGGGAAACCTCCGCATGGTTTTCATTCTCCTTCCCCACGCTCTGAAGCCCTCTCTGTTTTGCTTTCCTCTAACAAGTGCTTCTTTCTGCTTCCAGCTGTCTCAGTGATCCAGTCCATTCCAGTGTTCAACGAGACAGGAAGATTCAGTTTCACATTGCCATATCCAGTCAAAATCAAAGTTAGATTTTCCTTTTTCCTTCAGATTTATCTTATCTTAACATTTTTAGGTAAGTATTGGCTCTGTAATCGAGGCTTTGTCCTGTCACGTCTTACAGGGTAGCTTTAAATGGGTCCGTTTCAGAAGTCCTTGACGCTCCAGGAGTTTCTCAAAGAGTTGCATGGAGTTAAAGATTACTTTTCAACAATAGACCCCCAAGGTGAATCTGAAGGAGCCCCGGTGGTGTTGTGGACTAAGTGTTGAGCATCGGAGAGAAGTAGATGAAGTTTCCTTCTCCCAGAAAGTTTGACTGTCTTGGGAACCCTAAGGAGTTCTTTTGTCCTCTAGGGCGGCCAGACTCAGCAGCACCTCAGTGGTGCCGGGTGTCCGTAACAACCAAAGCCAGTGCCGTCAGCTGATCGCAACTCGTAATCACTGCTGACTAGTGATTTCATACCATTTGTGCTTCAAATTCCCCATCTATAGGAAATATAGGAAAACCTTACATTGTAACCTACTAGGGAACGAGGTTGTCTCTGCTTCATGAACGACTTGCTCTGTGTTGTTTGATGACCAGCTCCAGTAGGCTTAGTGCTACAGGAGAACCAGACAAGTGGGTACTGCTTCTTTGTCAGAAGCCACTGGCTATAAACAGAGACAAAGCTTGCCATTTCTAACCGCCCACTCTTCTTTTTCAGGGTTATACATAAATTTCCGTCACCTTTACAAACAGCGCAGGCGGCTCTACGGACATAAAAAGAGAAAGATCCACTAAGGTGGCTTTGATGGCTTCTTACCAGTTTGAGTCTTAGCTGATTCCTAGTTTTATCTTCTTGTACTTATGTAAACTTTTTTTGTTTTTTGTTAAATGATTAAATCTCCAGCGAAGCTCTCTGTTCCCCAGTAACATTTCTGAATTTGTTGTACTCTCTTAGTGTATGTAGTACTTGCATGATATGGATTCCTGATATCTGGTGGCAGGTCAGTTGGTAACAGCAAAAGGCTTGGCCCCACCCTAACCCACTTCATGTCCCGTCAGTCAGCCCTGTGTTCTACGGCCCCGGAGGTTTATTGTCATCCATACAAGGTATTGGCCCTTCTCCGAGCTGAGATTTGTTATTCTTTTTTTAAATTTTTAATCAGTTTATTGGGGCTCATACAATTCATCACAATACACAGATCAACTGTGTAAAGCACACCTATACATGTGTTGTCCTCACTATTCCCAAAATTCGCTTGCCTCCTGGGAGATTTGTTCTTGTGAAGAACAAGCAGGCTGGAGAAACGACTCGGCAGGACCTAACGTATTGTGCACTCAGTGGGTTACTTGGCGAGTGTGGTGTGGGGGTGAATTTCACAGTGTACTTGTGATGACCACATTGGACTCAGTTGCTGGTAAAAGCTTGCCGAATCTGTGTGGGGCTGGAGAACACAGACCAGTCCTGACCTCTTTGGCACCGCTAACTTGATCCGCTGCCACAATAGTGCTTACCACTGGGGGGGCACTGGAGAGGGTACAAGATGATTCCAGAGAAACAAGTTAGAGCCATGGAATACCACGATCACTTCACACTACTTTTCAACAGTAAAGAAAGAGGAAAGATTATTTAGAAAACAGTGAGATTATACAAAAAGGGCCCCAAACTGAGAAAGCTGCAGGGGTCCATGAGCATCACTGGGTCCAGCTGGCGGTGAGGCAGGCAATGCAGCCAGTACAAACTGGGAGACGCTCAAGTAGGCCAGACTCTGCACGCCCAGAGATGTCTGAGGCTGTGAACCAAACACCTTTTCCGTCAGTCTACTTCCTTTGCACTAGCTGAGCCCGTTTACGTGTGTGCCTGTCAGCGTGAGTGGTAGCCCTGCCTGCGTTTGGGGAGACCAGAAAGATGCTCATTTACTCTGCTACTAGATTGGCTTTTCATCCACCTGCGGTAGGTCGGTGCAAAGAGAACCAGAACTTCGGTTGCAGAACCACCAGGTGATCCTTAACAAGGGTTTCTGGCAGGAAACACCAACAGGGGTGGGGGTGGTAGACACTGTGAAGTTTGTCTATTCTATAATATCGTTTTCTCCAAAACATTCCAAGGGAACTAAACAGTTTAGTGTTGGAACACTTGTATAACACACTTTCAGGCACGGTCGCTCTTTGGTTCTGCTAGTCTCATTGCCCCTGGGGGAAGAGACTCCTTGACTTGTGCCGTGTACTTCTCTAAGGCCGAGGTGAGTACTTAGTGTGATCTAAAGCATTCCATTAGCTTAGGCTGGCTGATTAAGGAAAACTCCACTGCACTGAAGGATATCTTGCATGCCTGTGTCTTCTGTCAACACTTCATTGGTACTGACCTCCTTCAGCTGAGTTCCCATGTGTCCCGAAGCAGATCAGCTTTGCAGTAGATTATGCTGCATCTTTATGGATGAATCCTTTATTTTTAGTGATTGTTATTAACTTTCATTGCTGTCTGAGAAAGCAAAAGATTGTTTGTTTCTATTAAAATATTTACAATCAAAATCTCAAACGCATGTGCTCAAGTATCATTTCCTTTAGTGACTTAAAGTCAGTGATATAAAGTCATGGGTACAGGCAGGTCAGCCTAGGAAGCCAAAACTGATCGTTTGCATCGTCGCAGTTGGGGTCTAGAGGTCTGGAGGCTCGCGGGAGGCCACAGCAAATAAGATCACAAACTTAGCTGATGGGTTGAAACCACTGACTGCTGAGTTCAGTGACCAGTCAGAGTTTTGCCATTATAAACCTGGCTTGGTGTCCCTACATGGTGGAAATGCTAACCCAAAGGTTGGAGGTTCAAGCCTGGCGACATACTTCTTTTTGGGAAAAGGAGCCATTGTGGAACACGGGTCAACACACATGGGGTCTCCATGAGTTGGACTGCACTAGAACCTGGCATTGAGACCTAGTCTATCCGAACCAGGAAGTCAGTATAGCACTTAAACACGACTTTATAAATCTCGATCACTCGTCTGTCACTCGGGAAGTTGAAACTATTTCAAGTGGTAAGTTGGGTCAGAAGGCAAAATGTCCACTAATTTCAAGTAAAACAATTTTATAGAAAAGCAGTATTTTTATTAGAAAAACAAACTGGAATGGAAATCATTTTACACGTAAATCTGGTTGCTGTTGGAAAGTCCATATCAAGATCTATACCAAGAGCACCTCAGGGTCATGGTCACGTTTTGCCCAAGTGTTGGACAATTCTTGGAACTAACTCGATCTTGTACTTGGTCAGTTCCACATGGTCTGAGTAGCTTATTCTAAGGACAAATGCTTGAAAGTAAGGCGGAAGAAAACGGCAGAAGTGACGCCCATCAGGAAGCCAGAGCCCTCCTGCAGTTAAGTGGGGAGCCCTGTGCTTGTCAGCCACTCAAGCATCTAAGATGTGCCCATGAAATGAGCAGAATGTAGGGGGATCAGAGCCCCAGAGAGCAACTCTTAAAACCTTTCTCAGACCGTTCTGAGGCAGCCCCAGGGAGGTCTTCGGGTAGCTATTCCAGAGGTGAGCTGACTGGAAAGGCGTTTCCTGTAAATCAATTCACTCGAAACAAGAGAGAAGGCTCCACGGGCAGCTTCACATTCTTTCGGTGCCGCTCCCGGAGAAGTCTGTCTGCAGCGGCGTGATGTTGTGGTCGTAGGCTGCGCACTCGGACGTGCCAGTGCTGGCCAGCTTGAGCTGCTTGGCCGCGTGGGTCAGCTGGAAGGCAGCATCGGGGTGGGCTGTGTCGGGCAGCAGGGTGCACTCCCTTTCCAGCATGTCTGCCACCCCTTTGAGCAGGTCCCCAAAGCCAAAGGCCAGGGCAGCCTTGCGCAGACGGTTCAGCTCCTGAAACAACACCAATGCTGCTGAGATAGGCTCTCCTCACCACGCACCTTATAAGGGCTCCCGATCCTAGTTTTGTTAGCATTTTGATATGAGGACACGTGCTTGTGCAAAGCCACCGTAAGACGATGCCTAGGGCAGTGGCTCATCGCACAGGTGATGAGAAAGCTACTTGACGAAGGCTTAAAACATAAGCATCACAGGTAGTGAGCATTTCTACCAAACGACAGCACTTCGTGTGCTCTTCATAGCTGTAAGGAAGATAGCGCTTTTTCTGCTACTCAGATACAGAAAAGACTTGCCCCGAATCTTAACAAATCTTTACCCTTCAGCTCTGAATGAGCCTCAGCTGAATAGCAACATAGTACGTGGAAGCAGAGAGACAATGTGGCCCGGTCTCAAGCAGGCAGTTAGATGCCTTCCAGCTCCTACATGTGGGATTACATCAAAGCAGAAAGAATAAACAGTGCTCTGGCTGACTCTCTACTAACATCTTTTAACAAGTGGGTCATCCTGAATGGGTGGGAGCTGAAGACGGCAGGGAGAAAGCTCTGCGGGGAGATACAGGGGCGGTGTAACTAGTGGCAATGAAGGGTCCCTGTCGATTGGGATTCAGGCAGGGAGAGTAACGGCTCTCTGGGTGAACTTGGATTAAAGTTGCTCTTGCTCGACTTCACTAGCTTGCTATATAATTAGGCTCAAAGGCAACACAGATAGAAAGGTAATGAGGTAAGACCCTGGCTGAGATACTGGCCTGAAGTCAAGTGTCAGAAGGGTCAGGGAAAAACAAGGAGTGGGTTTTAAGTTCTCCTGTTTCTTGTAACTTTATTCCCTCCACTAATGGCTTCAGATTTTCTCCATTACCTGGGCATGACTGGAGGGCCAACTCCTTTGTAATTCAAAAACGTGTAATTTTAGAAGTTATTCTGGAACCAGCTTCTCGGGCACAGTATGTATATTCTGGGTAACTTCTACCCTAGGGTGTCACATACACCTAGGAGGCACTGTCCACATGGGAGCAGCGAGGAGGGTTGAGGGCTATGACCCAAAGGCCCTTCCAACTGCCTCCCCCGGCCATTCAAGGCAGCCCAGATAGGCCATGCAAACAGTTGAGCTTCCTGGATTTTAGCACACAGAGGAACCTAGTCATTCGACATGCTTTCCTGATGGAAAAACCCTGAGGGGTAAGCCATACATTTCTTTAATCCCCACCCAAGGCTACTCTGCACCCCACACCCTTAGTACTGTGATACTTCGCGTGTTTTGAACATGTTCCCTTCCATGACAGTTCTGAGGTTCTCACCTTATAGAATGTCTGTGTTTTTTCGGGTAGTTTTCTTGCATTTCTTAAAATCTTCTGAACGTCTGTCTGTTAAAGGTGGGAAGCATTTGACGTTACGATCCGAGGGTAAAAGGGTAACAACAGAATGGTTCCAAATATTAGAGAGATGAAACTAAAAAAACGGCACAGCTGTGTCAATCCGAGGACCACCCAGCCCCGGCCCCTGTGTGCCAGTCCATGTTCCGTGGGACACTGGGAAAGCCCCTCCCTCCTTGCAGACGCCTGATGCTAATCAAAGGGAGCAGTGGTGACAAAGACAAACCAGATGAACTTGTCTGCCTCACAAAACCAGCCAGGACCGAACAACACTCACAAGCATTTTACAACAGCTCTGCCCAGTGGGGAGTAGTTTGGGATGCACTGGGTCAGGGAGGGGAAGAGGGAATTTCCCTACAAACAGAAGAGGCCTCCATATCCCAGCAGGAGGCGATCCAGTGGGCGTGGAAAAAGCCTAGGAGACACAACAAAAGCTACTTTGCTGTCCTGTAGCCTGGCTGCCTTGTCTCACTTGGCTTAGGCTGAACGAACACATTGGAGAAACAAAAAACAAAAAAGTTGCTTAAAGGAGAAAAAAGACTCAGGAAAGTCATTTTTTTAAACTAGGTATACATGCTACTTTTGTCTAAGAGAAAAAGAAATGTCGCTATCTTGCCTGAAAGCTGCTTACTTTGATAACGCACCTTAGCTTCCTATGGAAGGGTTCTCACTGAATTACAATGCTGCCCCCCACCCCCCACAGGACTCACTGAGATGAGGGGACAAACCATTTAAAGGCACTGGCAAAACAGCTGGTCCACATCAGATCCATTGTGTTATTAAGTGTCTAAATATATAACGCAGCTAACAAATGCAAAGTCAGGGAGATGTTTCTCCCTAGAAGCGGGGCAGGGCTCCTCTGATCAGATACATAACCCAACACGGTTCTTTTCTGAGCTTGGCTGCAGGAAGCTTGGAGCCAAGTTGCTCAAATAGAATTGCGGTTTTACCTCAGGTTCCTGGCACAATTGTCCCCTTCTTGCTCCCTTTCTGTGGCCTCGTATTGTTCTAAATTTTATAAAAAACGATTTTTCCATATACATGTTTTACTGTGAGCCCTCTCCGTTTTGTGACTAATGAGAAACACTAAGGGGTAAATGCATTACTAAGTAATAGCGTGAAGGAAAATCAAATCAGAAAGACCTGTTTGCCTGCCCGAGTCCCTCCTTTTGTCCCCGGTGGAAAATAGCGTGATGGGAGATGCTACCTGCAGGCCACTGGGCTTGATCCACACGGTCACATTCTGCGCGTAGCTGCGTTTGGTTTGGGGCTGCAGGGGGAAAGGGCTCTTACTGTCATCCTCGCCGTATGGGTTCTCTTTAGCGTCTTAAAAGAAAAGACATTACTTAAGTGACATCTGGCAAAACACAATCGATTACATTTCCAATCAGGCTAGAAGCTCTTTGAAATCACTCCATCTTTATATTCTGTTAGTTCCCTAATTAGGGAAATCCATGAACTTAGGTTGGGGACCAGTTCTCCACAGAGAGCCACCCATAGGAAAGCAAACAATTAACGGAGAATGTGAGCGGTAGCTCAATGCGTCCAAAGGAACGTGCTTCACTAATGTGCTGCTTTATCAATGAAGGCCGGGGACTGAAGGAACAGCCGCAGTAGCACACGTTCACGTGTGGCAGTTCTGAAGCCCAGCCTGCTCTCCGACAGAACTTTCCGTGAAGATGGAGATGTTCTGTATCTGTGACACGCAGTATGGGAACCACCAGCCCAGGTGGTTACGGAACATACGACATGTGATCAGTGTGGCTGAGTAACCACATTAAAATTTTATTTCATTTTAATTGAATTTAAATTAATTCAATTGGCTGATGTCTACTGCATCGGCTAGCACAGGTTTAGCTATTAAAAAACTTAAAAGGCTAAGATAAGTTATTTGATTGCTGACAGGTACCTCACCTGATGGCTTATCAGCTTTTCGGAGTCAGGTTGCTTTCCAGCCATGTGGGTAAACAGACTGTAGTCCTTGTACTTGCTTCCTGAGTCAACAAAAACTCTGCCACAAGCTGACAAACCACTTTCATCTTTTTGACTGCCACCTTCTGAGGTGGCCAAGAGCAGGGATCATTTTTCCCACGAGCTCTGGGAACTTAGGCCCCTTCCCAAATGCTCTTGCTAAAAATTCAAGTAAGACTCCGAGTTAGGAGTCTTCTACCCTGATTTGTTCATATTCAAAAGCATAATAGTGGCCCCACATTACTCCCACCAACCTTCCTCTCGGCCGGGCAGCGAAGGGTGAGGAAGTGCTGAGTCAGCACTGCAGGTTTCCACCCCTCATTGCTTGTCAATGCGCCCAAGGAGCTGCCCAGCATCTCTGCCTTCACCTCTGCCATCCCCCCTTTGACTAGAGGGGAAGGTAGTCCCTTCCTCTCTCACATATCTGAGCTGCACTACATAGCAATAAGCACTGAGCAAGGAACTGTGATTAGAGATGAATAAAACAATTTTTTTCTTCTCTCTTCACAGCAACTCTAAAAGAATCCAAGCCGCCCCATCCATTGCCATCAAGTTGATTCAGACTCGTAGGGACTTTCGAGGGCTGGTATAATGAACTGCTCCTCAGGGTCCAGAGACTATAAATCTTCACGGGAGTAGACAGCTCTATCACTCTCCCGGGGAGCAGTTGGTGGACTGAAAACACTGGCACACTTAGTAGTCCCAGGGCACTAATTCACTGTACCCAGGCTCCTCAGCAACTCTAGACAGTCGATATTAACCCCATTCAAGGCAAGGAAACGGACACTCAGAGTTTAGATATAGAAGGTTTTATAGTGAATGGTTGAATTAGGATTTGCATCTGGGTCTACCTGGTCCCAATGCCAATACCTTTCCCATCACTCAACGCAGCTGTTCCTCACCTACCCAGCTTACCTATATCCCTGCAAGGAGGCATGCAGTAGTTCTGTGTTTCTAAAAGATGGTGACTGCTCTTGAACTCCTATGATACAGCAGTCAGCATAGGCCTTCCAATAGCAATCATCACCTATCTTGCTCTATTATTACAGAGGCTATTATGAAGGCTGGTTCAGTACCCCGCTAAAAGTACCTCTTTTAGAAAAAGAACAGGCAACTCTTAGGAAGAAGATGCTGTGGTCAGCTGTGGTAGAGTTGGCCCCAACTCCTAGTGCCCCCACGACAACAGAATGAAACCCCAGCCTGCCCTCCCACTGATGCAGCCACTGGGCCCATCCATTGTGCCAAAGAGCCTCCTACTTTATAAACATAATGTCCTATCTAGTGGCTGCTCTCTCCTCATAGCACGTGCAGAGTATTTGTTTTTTGTGTGCACAGTTCTTGGAACAGTCTTCTAAGGGGCGATCTGACTTGGCTCCCCCAAGAGCGAGGGGTTTGTTCTGCTGGCAGTCATGGTACTTTCTACATTCTTTGCCAGCACCTTTCAAATGCATCAGCTCTTCCATCTTCCTGGTTTTCGTCCAGGTTTTGCATGGACTTTATTTTTGGGGTAGTTTGTTCCTTATAGTGACTTTAAATCCATTTTATGCAGCAGATCTGCCCAATGCAATAGTTTGTGTAATACCTGACTGCTGCTTTCATGACCATTAATTGTGGAATCAAGCAAGATGAAATCCTGGACAACCTTAATCTTCTCTCCATTTATCATGAAGCTGTTCACTGGTCCAGCTGCCAGAGTATTTGTTTTCTTTACACTGAGTGTAATCCACACTGAAGGTTGCTGACTTCGCTTTTCATTAGTAGTGTTTCCCGTCCTCTTGACTTTGAACAAGCTAGGATCGTCACCTGCATATCGCAGGTTGTTAAGGAGCCTTCCTCTAATCCTGATGCCATGTTTTTCTTCATATAGTCGTGTTTCTGGGATTATTGTTCAGCATACAGTTTAAATAAGTACAGTGAAAGTATTCAACCCAGTTACATCCCTTCCTGATTTTAAACCATGCAGTACTCCCTGTTATAATGTTCAAACGACTCCCTATATGTAATGATAGACACAATTAAGTATTTTGAAATTCCCACTCTTCTTAATGTTATCCATAGTTTGTTATGATCCACACAGTCAAATGTCTTTGTATAGTCAATGAAAACACAGGTAAACATTTATAACCAAGATCCATCTGACAGCTTTACATACTCAGCTCGATCTGGCTGGACTTTCTGGAAGCTGTCAATTTACTGTTGCATCTGTTTCTGAATTAAATCTTGAGCAAAATTTCCACATTTAGTTGGATCTGGAATGGGCACAAACATGATCTCGTCCAGTTAGTTAGCCAAGTAGCTGTCTTCTAAATTTCTTTTCATAGACTACAAGTGTGTCCAGCACTACATTGGTTTGTTGAAGCTTTTCTTTTAGTATTCTCAATTCCTGGGGCTTTGTTCTCACTAATGCTGTCAATGTAGTTGGCACTTATTCTTTTATCATCAGTTCTTGATGGCATATTGCCTCTTGAAATGGATGTCAACCAATTCATTTTGGCACACTGGGTATTAAAAAATCTTCAGATTATTTCTTGCCTCATTCAATATCTTGCTCATAGAATCCTTCAAATATTGCAACTTAA